ATAATTACTAAAAAGTCACAATTTAAATTTGACCAAATTCTATTTGTTTACTTTGCTGAAACAAGAATAATTCAAATGAATAACTTTAGAAGGGGAAGAATCGCTTAAAATGCAAATTACAGGGCAGAAGATCCTATATTTCTATTTTGCCCCTTTTTTTGTTCCCCGTAGAATAAATGTCAACACTTATCGAATAGTGGAGAATGAAAAGAAAACCTGCTAAGAGTTTTAAAGTAACTGGATTCAGTAAACTCTAAAACTTTGACCGAACTTGACCTTAGTTGATATGCTCCCAAAACACTCAAACACATCTATCTAGCAGGGGGATCAGCTAGAAAAATATATGTCTGAGAAACACATATATTTTTTATCAATCTGGGTATATATTATTTAACAATCTGGGTTTTAGATTGATATCTACATAGATTTGATAATCAAGTTGTATAATACAGACTTGAACATTTTGATGTCTAGTTGAGTGCATTTAGGGAAGGAGTTATAAATAAAGAAATATAAAAATAAAGATAGAAATATTTCTTTCGTGCAGATCGCATTCATTCACCTTATTTCGTGAGTAAATCTGTCATAACCAAGATGCATGTTTGTACCGTCTGCAATCAGAGCTTAGTTTATGAAATGACGGAGTCCTATGAAAAGTTATCAGGAAAAATAAACAAAAGTGTATAAATAAAATATAAAGAATAAAATAGTTAATGATTTAAGTTGAATAATACATAAAAAATAAATTTAATATATTATTAAACTATAAATAATAAAATAATAAAATAAAATGACGAACTCTGGATTATTTGGGGTTCGGGGTGGAATTACCATTTTATTCAAAAACTATAAAATAATTCATCTGGACTCCAGATGAATTTAAGCCGGGATAGAAACAAAGATCATTTCTTTTTCAGTCCACCAATGAAGAAAAGTGAAGTGGTTAAAGAGACTAATGAAAAGAGAGAGAATACTAGAAAAAATATGGAAACAAAGTGAGACAAACAAACAAACATCGATAAATTCTAGTCGTCAAGCACAATGTGACAGTAGAAACCAATCGATTTTTAAAGTTTACTTATTATCCAAATAAAATTTTCGAAGTCAAAGACATTTTCTGCAGAACTAATGGTTAAGTTTCATAAAAGAAGTGCCGGAGCCGCACTCACGCTAGAATTGCGATTTAGCTAAAAAACTGAGAAGTATCAAATCGAGTTCCGGCAATTTAATTTTCCCGTGATTCGACAATATCACTATTAGTTTATTTAGTTTAAAATGCTCAAAACGTACTCAGTCCATATCTTTTAACACTTTACATTCTAGATTCTCCACCTGTTATGTTAATGTGTGCTTCTCAAACCCTCCATCGTTCTAAAACTATATTCCTGACTCGTACGTTTTGAAAAGATCATTTGGGAAAAAATTTAAATACGTAATTATTATTTGAATTAATTTTTCTTTGGGGATTATATGCCTGACAGTATTGTAATTTATTAACGTTTCGGACATAGTCCTCAGTTTTATGCTCACATTATTAGCATTCATTATAAATGCTGTAATTATTATATTTTCCAATTGATTTAAGCTTATTTCTGTTAGCGTTCAGGGATTCAGGTAATGGCAGGATTAAAAAATTTTAAGAACTGAATTCGTTGCATACATGAACAATAAAATTAGTTACGAAATGAGATAAATTGCTTTTTGCCGAACTACAATTCATTTCGGACGTTTAACGTTTTTTCTTATTCTTAGACTGAAAGTGAAATGAAAGATAGGAACATTTCAAGTCTTGAAAAGTCGTCGAAAAGCTAAGTTCGGATGAGAAGTAAGAATAATGTATGAATTTTTACCTAAAATTAGTTTTATAATGCAGCGCATTTATATTAGAATTAATAAATGTTATTTATTTTAAATGTATTGCTCATTCATAATGTATAATATTTTCTCCGTTTAAACATTTTGACACATTCATCTTTCTCTTTCTTCATTCCAGTGTGAAAAAAGAAAAATCAGTATTCCAATGTATATTATATATATTAAGTTTATACACATGCCTAACATCAGAGTCAATGGATTCTGTTATAAAACCCAGGTTATGGAAACAGGAATAATTTATAGACATACGAAGAATACATTATAGAAATTAACCAGGAATACTTTGTAGAATTTAATCAGGATTGCATTATAGGATTTAACCAGGAATACTTTATAGAATTACTAGGAATAATTTATAGAATTTAAGCAGGAATACTTTATAGAAATACCAAGAATACTTCATATAATTTAATTAGGAATACTTTATAGAATTTAATCAGGAATACTTTATAAGAATTTAATCAGAAATGCTTTATAGAATTTAACCAGAAGTATTTTATAGAAGTATCAGGATTACTTTATAGGAATTAACAGGAATACTTTATAGAATTTAACCAGAAGTACTTCATAGAATTACTAGGAACAATTTATAGAATTTAACCAGGAATACTTTATAGAAATACCAGGAATACTTTATAAATTTAATTTAAAATATTTTATAGAAATTTAATCAGAAATGCTTATAGAATTTAACCAGAAAATATTTATAAAAATATCAGGAATATTTTATAGAATTTAACCAGAAATACGTTATAGAATTTAACCAGGAATACTTTGTAGAATTTAACCAGGAATACTTTATAGAAATACCAAGAATACTTTATATAATGTAACGAGGTAAACTTTATAAAGAAATAACAGGAACACTTTATAGAACTTAATCAGGAATACTTTAGAAATACCAGGAATACATTTTAGAATTTGACCAGGAATGCTTTATAGGATTTAACTAGGAATACTTAATAAAAATAGCAGAAATACTTTACAAAATTTAACAAAGAATACTTTATAAAATACAATCCGAAACAAAGAGAAATGCAAACGTTTACCTCGTCTAAACTGAGCTTTTTTTTTTTTTTTTTTTTCTTTTTTTTTTTTTTTTTTGTGTGTGTGTGCTTTTGAACAGCAGTGGCTGATAAAATTATTATCTGATGGCTTCCGTTAGTTACCTGTTTCATAATCCTATTTTATTCTTTAGTAACTTCGCTTCATTAGTTTGTAAATTACTTTTAGTATTTTCCATTGCCTTCCAATAGAAAAAAATTACAAGATTACAGTTTTAAGTTAATTCTATTTATGTTTGATGAAACCAGAGTTCAGAGATCTATTATAGATGTAGTTGTCCCTCTGTAGGTATTTTGGCAAAATTAATTTTGTTATGTATTATATTTATGTTATATTTATGACACAAATAAGTAAAGGGAACTTTTACTTCATAAACATGAAATTAAAAAACACTTTTTAAAATAAAACTTAATCGCACACAGTTTAACTTTCATGCTTATCGTGTATAATTATGTCATGTATTGTTCTTAAAAGTCATTTTACAATTTTGTTTTCTTTAGAACTTTTCCATCCTGGATATTAAGTTAGGTTACTTATAGCGCTTAGGATTCCTAGGGTCCTTTCCAAGCTTTTCGACAATTAAGGGACAGATTCTTTAGACTAAGGAAACATTTTAATGCTATCCAGGAATTTTGAGTGTTTGCTTTCAAAACAATGTCTAGAGAATTTTAGAGTTTTGTCGGGTTGAAATCATATTGCACCATTTTATTAACATTCCTCATGCTGAAATTTGCATAGCTGGAAAACCCAATGTATCAGAGTTGGGTGTTGAGAAGGAATTTTCAATCATATTGTCAGTCTGAAATTCTAAGTTTTCGGAAATTAGCATAAAATCTTTCTAATCAATAGTAGAACAAGTCTAAATGGGGTAATCAATAAGGACAAACGTACGAAACAAGGAACCAGCAGCATGAAAGATTAGAACTATTAGAATGAGGAAATGTAAATAATTAACGAAAAAAAAGGGAAATTTCCTCTTAACACAGTTTGTTTTAAAATTTTTAAAATTGTAATCATATTTTTTTTTCTCTTAATATGGAAGTTCTCTTACATAAATATGTTTAGAAATTGCTCTGCCATTTCCCCTTTTACTTATTTTACTTTTTTGTTCAAACCATATTGATTTACTAAATTTTAATAACTATCATTCATGGAATATTTTAAGTTAAATGTTCTGTTCACCCAAAAATAAAAATCTGATACTTTACCTGTAAACTTGGTTCTTCTCGAAAATTATAAGGTATCAGCATTAATCTCGATAAATTTATAATAAAGGCTTTTTAGGTTTCTGAAACTTATTTTCATGTAAATAATTAAATTTTATTAAACTTTAAATTCCCTTTCTCTCGAAAATGAAGCTTGATAGTTGTGGTTTCTTCATTTAGGAATCCTGTTTCGTCAACCGGAATGCCGTTATAGATGCGGATAATCTACAATTTCATTTCAGTGCAATTTGACACATAATCCAATTTAATACATCGATTCTACATGCGAATCATATACAAATATACAAAGTTCACTTCGGTAAATACATGCATATGAAGCATCTGTTTTAATTGCAGCTGTGGCGTTCTTTTTGTATTTAATAAATTTGGATCATCAAACAATTTCTCGACAGTACGATGCAAATGATATTACTGCCTAATTAATTTGTTTAGATCCAATGAAAGTGTCCTATTAAATTACATACCTTATTTATTACTAAATTAAAGATTTTACATTTAAAATGTTTTTGTGTTGTGCACAAATTTTCTAACTTTTGCTTCATGTATTTGTTTAGCCTTTCTAAATTATCATAAATTTATTTAAATTTTATTAAATTATGAAATTTATTTATTGAAATTTTATTTTATTGTTATAAATTTAATTGTTGTTTGAAAACAGATGACCTAACCTTATAAAGCAAGTTAAAAATGCAACTGGTTTTATTCTTTATTCTTTATGTTTTACAATTTCATTTTTGCAAATGATATTTATTCTTATTAAAAACAACAAAGGTAAAACAAAATGTTTTAATTTGCATTTATTTTCCGTAAAAGAATGAAAACTTAAGTTATAATATAAACCTTCTTCAAATATAAAAGTTCTAAATCAACTAAAAAAATTAGCAATTGCTAACAGCACGAAAGGTTTAAGAAATTTTGATTTCATTAGTTTCGTTTGAACCTTTCTTTTAAAAACAGATGCATGCATATGCATGCAAGCATGTGTGCATATGACATATTATTAACAACCACAAATAAGTAATTCTCATCGATAGATACAATCTCATTCTTCACAGTTTTTGCTTTCTTTTCTTTTGCAAATCTACTGCAGCAGAGCACGGAGTCTTTGACCCAAATGAGCACTCACCGAAGTCACGTTTTGTCTTCAACGAGCAAATGACTAGAATTCAAGTGCAGATTGTTTTATTTTCACTTTCCAAACTCATGCCTTCTTTTTATTTCTTCATTCGTCAAAGTAGGATCAGAAAAAAATGTGCTAAGCAGATTACTGCCTTCGAGATCCAAACACCATTGCCGGTGTTGCTGTTTCTTTCTGAAACTGTAAAATATAAGAAATATTAATACATATAAGGTTTTAATCTGTAGAAAAAAGTACTTTGTTAAATTTATGAGTTTCGAAACATAAATAATTTCATCTCTGAATTTAAAGGGGCTCATACACCGTAAACCCCTTATGATCTTCGAATATGTGACTTATATTTTTTATTTATTTTAAAAGCAAGTACTTCCAACTTTTTACAGCTGATTGCATAATATATAGCTGCTTTGAAAACTAGTAACCAGAAAGTTTGCGTTGCCACAAATATTTTTGTAATTTAATCCGCTTTGTGACAATTTTTCGTCATGTTTTCACCTTGTGCGCATGATATTTTCAAAATGGCTAATGTACACTGCTCAAAAAAAAAAAAAAAAAAAAAAAAAAAATGGGACAGTCCTATATCTCCCGATCTACTGGGCCGATTGACAAAATTCAAATTGCGTTCTTCATGTCTCGAAAGCGCAACTTAGGATATATATTAGATTTATATATAGCACTATTCTAACATAGGTATTTTGACACAAAATCGGACTTTTTCTGAAATAACATACCAATTTTTTTACATATTTCGATTCTACGACTCAAATTACGCCTAAATATGAAATTTTGTAAAATTTGGAGCGAAATTTACGGAGAAATTCACAAATTTATGTTGGCACTTTTTTGTCAGTTTGCGCCAAGAATACTTCACTTGGCGAACTTCTTAATATATGGCAACCTAGTTCCTTAGGAAAAAAAGTCACCATCGTTCCTTTTTTCCAAATAATATTCTTTATATTATATTTTTCATTATAACTTATTATTTTAAGTAATTTTTCTTTTCGAATTTCATTTTAATTGTTTAAGTTGCACGTTTTTTTTTTTTTTTTTTTTTTTTTTTTTTTTTTTTTTTTTTTCGAATAACTGTTTTAAAAATTTCTATTTACCTATTCGAACTGCGTAAATAAAGGTGCAGCGTTTATTTTTATTTTTTTTTCAAATAGTTTTCTTTATATATATTTTTCGTCATAGCTATTATTTTAGGTCATTTTTAAATTTTTATACTTTTATTTTAATTGTTTGTGTTGCATTGTCTCTTCAGATAATTGTTTTAAAATTTTCTATTTATTCCTTCGAACTGAGCATTTTAAATATATTTATTAATATCAATTTTCCAGAATTTGATTTTATTTATTTGAACTGCGTTTTTTTCGGAAGAATACTTTGTAACCCAGACTACGATGCGTTTGAAAACTGCATACTATATTAAAAGAGAAAATACAGTAAAGCACAGTTTTACACGCCTTTCAATGTTCCGTTCAGAAAAAATATATATAAATAAGAGAGATGTATAACCGATATTTTAACTTAGGATGACTTGCATACACTGCTTTAAACAGTTTTATCATTGTGCCCATTGCTTTACACAATTTTATCCTACATTTGGTTTCTTAAAATGTTATTCATATTTTAGTCAAATATTTTATTTTTGAAATCGCAAGAATCAAATATCATAAGATTGACAAGTTTTAAATTTAAAAAAATACGAATACTAAATTTTACGAAAAAAATTATTTTTCTTCTCTGTTTCTTTAAGCATTCTGAAAGTATATTGAAAAGTATCCAACTTTTCGAAACATTTTGGTATTTCTGACAATCATTTTAAATAAAGTTATCGCCTTCCATTTCATAAAGGCCCACAAACGGCCGAGCGGTAAAGTTGCTGATGGTGTGGTGTATTTAATTATGGCAAAGCACACGAAGGCTATCTGCCTAAAGGGAGGGATGCCTTTCGTGGAGGATTTTCTAAGGGAAACTGGCTCGTATACACGTTACGCATGGGGAAAACCACGAAAACGCCCATGCAGCCAGCCCGTTCGCGGGATTCGAGCCTCAGGCCGAACTACCAGTGTTCAGCGTCTTTACCGCTCGGCCGCTGGTGGGCGGTAAAGTTGCTGAACACTGGTAGTTCACTCCGGGGTTCGAACCCCGGTAAACGGGCTGGTTGCATGGGCGTTTTCTTGGATTTTCTCATGTGTACCGCGTATGACAGCTGTTTTCCCTTAGAAAGTTCTTCACGAAGTATTTCGTCAGAGCCTTTATCAGTCTTTAGAGGCTAAACATTTTGAAGCTATGAGATGAAAGGAAAGACTGGTTTCATCAAAAGGTTTTGGTTTATTTTATTATGACAAAGCACACTACGGCTATCTGCCTAAGGGGAGGGATGCCTTCCTGGAGGACTTTCTAAGGGAAACTGGCTCGCATACACCTTACACATGGGGAAAACCACGAAAACGCCCATGCAGCCAGCCCGTTCGCGGGATTCGAACCTCGGACCGAACTACCAGTGTTCAGCGACTTTACCGCTCGGCCGCTAGTTCATCAGGAAGGGAAAAAAACATCTTTAAGTGACATCCACATACATCACTGGATAAACTCCTGAATCTTCAAATAATTCGACTGAGGAAATCATGGGATTCACCATTTATGATACGATATGATGTTCTATAACGTAATTTACACAACCATATAGTTTTAAAACCAGTCGCTCTTCACTTTAATCTGCAATGATATCGTTTTGTCTTTTCTGTTAACACAAGCTCAATTGATGGTATTTGCTGGTGTACTCGTCCAAGTGTTTTCTCTTTGAACACCTAAATTCTTTTTGAAGTATCCTGAAAGTATATTCGAAAGCGTCCAACTTTTTGAACATCTTGGTACGTCTGACAGCCAAATTTCCCTGCAAATTTTTGCTTACTTTTCTCCCTAATTTTCTTCTTTCCTTCTACAGTTATTTTCAGTGCTCACACAAGAAAATTAAGATTTTTTGACTGCTAGACTTCCATACATTTTGCATTCTTGTCAATTTTTTAAAATATCAATTATATGAATTGCGTTTCAGCTAAAGACAGCTTTTCATTTTTTAGTCATTTTAGCTATAAATAAAGTTTAAAGCGAAGTCCAAAGGATAAATAATTTAATTAAAAGATTTTTGCTAAATGACAAAGAAATAAAACAGTCCAGCAGGGTTTATTCTGTACCACAGAGTAACCCGATTCTTATATCGGCTGAAACAATCTAAATCATATTAAAGATCATGTTTTTTATACAATCTATAACGCGAGAGAAAAAATTAGCTTCTTAAAACATGCTTTCTAAGAGAATTAATATAAAAATTTATATTTATATATATATTTTTTAAAGTTGGGACTTGAACCAAACTGTCAGACTTTTAAAGCTTATTTTACATGGTGGTTATTATTAAAGTTCCATTTTGAAATGGTCATAAAAGGAAAACTACCAGACCAAATGTTATCAAACTTGGGAATCGTGTAAAGGAGGTTATGAGAATTTATTTTCGGCGGGAAAAAAAAAAAAAAAAAAAAGAGTTCAAAAACTCACCATCAGGGGAAAAATGGCGCTGTATACAATATTGTTAAATGAAATAAGACACGAAAACATCTGTTTAAAATGTGTTTAATATTTTCCGAAACGTGTTACAAAGCATGTTCAATGTAGCGTCCAGCATTTTCCGAAAGCAAGTTAAATCATGTTACTGCATTCTCAACAGCAGCTCTTAGCATATCAGGTTTGGTTTTGGTTTGGTTTATTAGATTACGGCAAAGCACTCGAGGGCTATCTGCCTTAAGGGAGGGATGCCTTCGTGGAGGACTTTTTAAGGGAAACTGGCTCGTATACACGTTACACATAGCATATCAGGAGGAATGTTATCAGTGTATCACATTTTTCATTTCTGCCAAATTGTTTAGATTATCACCATAAACAGTGCTTTTGAGATAACCTCATAGACAAAAGTCACAGAGGTTGAGGTCTGGTGGGAAGAGGGGAAGTGTTGGCCTATAAGACGTTCATTTGTGAAATGTTGCCTAAGTAACTATGCGAGACTCTTGAGGTGGTGCCCAGCCCTGCATAAAAATCGTAGTATCTAAAATGCCACGTTACTGCAGTTCATGTATCACGAAACATTTTAATATTGGCTCTAAGGAACTGCAATCGCAGTGGTCCAGCTGTCGACTGCTCTTCAGAAAAAAATGGTTCAGTTATAAAACTAGCTGTCATTCAAGAGTAAACGGTGTGAAATGACTGTTATGCAATCGAATGCAGTAGGAGAATGCAATGGAACTAGATAGATAACATGAGAGATTTCTTTGGCCCAAATCGATTAAAAGCGTTTTGAATCAGTATCTTCATGTTTTAGTGCCGAATTCAGGCTTAAAAAATTACAAATTAGCGATCTGTAAGAAAACGATTTCCAGATTGTACGCACTTGTGAGAGTGATTTGCGATCTCACATTTTCTAATCGCTAATTCGTGGTTTTCACGGACGAAATTCTCACTTACAGGGATGGCGCACTCGACATTTATCGAATTTAACGTCTTTAAATAATAATTTGCCTACTTCAAAGTTTCTTAAGGGTATACAACATATTAAACCCGTTTAACAAAAGGTTAAGTTAGATTCCGACCCATATTTCGTTTAACAATATTGCATACAGCGCCATTTCCCTCCCTGGTGGTGAGGTTTCGAACTTCCTTTTTTCGCGGAAAATAAATTCCCATGACCTCCTTTACACGATTTCCAAGTTTGATAACATTTGATCCAGTAGTTTTATGACCGTTTCAATGTGGAACTTTAATTATAACCACTCTGTATATTATTAAATTTTAATTTGAAGCTATGCGTTATATGTATACCATGCGTAAAATTTTCGCTTTTATGGAAAAATAAAAAATCGAAGCAAATATACTTAGTATAATGGACCAAAACTGAAAAACATTTCCCCTCCCTCCGAAAATAAAATATTGAAATTTCGAACTTGAATTTACTGGGTTATCGAAATATTTAATTTGACTTATCTTCTAAGTCCTAGTTCCGACAACAATTCCGTCAAAAATTCCGAATTACTTAAGCTAAAGTTAAAAGATTTAGTATATATTCACTGTATGTTAATAAAGTAATCAGAGTGGTAATAAAAATAGATTATAGAATTTACGCTGAT